CACTTCTGATTCCAGCTTTTATTGAGGCCAAGTGGCCCCCTTTGGGGGAGGCCAGCCATGCAGCCCGCCAGGAGTGGGGTGCTTCGGGGACATGCCATGCCTGGCCACCACTGCCCCTGCGCATGGCATGAGGGTGACCAGGGTCCCCACCTGGGCCACAGGGGCCCCCTCCCTCCCCCCAGGGAAGGGTCTGTGGCAGACAGACTGTGGGGGTGGGGCTCAGTGGGGTGCCTGGTGGCCCAGGGACAGTGCAGTGCCTCAGTGGCATCAGAGGCCCCGAGGGTCCATTTCAAGCAGAAGGAGGAGCCTGGCTCAGGGGACAGTGGCCGCAGCCACCCCCTCACCTCCAGTACCCAGTGTAGGTCACAATAACTTAAAAGACACTATAAACATTTGGACGCTATATAACAATATAAGTTAACCAGGTCCGGTGGCCGAGGACGCAGGACGTGCACACGTGGTGTCCAGGATCGGGGCGAGGGGCAGGCCGCGGGGCAGGGTGCTCCCAGCAGCCCAGAGGCTCACAGCGTCCTGGGGTTTGGGGGCGAACGTGCTGCCCGCAGAGCCGCGGCCCAGCCAGGGCACCAGCCCCAGGCCAACGTCCAGGCCACTTGGCTTGTTGGTGGCCCAAGAACAAGTCTCCAAGGGCTTCTGCTAAGAGAACAGCCCAACTGGGCAGCAGACAATGGGCAGTGACCAGAGCCAGGCAAGCCGTCTCTCTGACCTTGGCCAGTCCCTCTCCCTACGCTGATAACTCGGGGATGGGGATGGGGGTGGGGGGACTCCAGACAGGACACGCCAGCCCTGAGCCTGCAGCTCCACCCTCGGGCAGGTTTCAGGGAGCTGAGCGGGCCGGCGGGAGGGCCGGGGAGCAGGAGTCCTCCCGGACAGCAGGCAGGGCAGCCCAAGTCCTGGGACCGGGGTTGAGGGAACGGGGCCAGGTAGGGCTAGAGCGGCCACAGGGGCCGGCAGCCCCAGGCCCTGGAGGCCAGCGTGTAGCCAGGGTGAGGCTGGGGCTCAGGGAAGCCCCAGGGCCCCAGGAGGGGGTGTGGGGACACCCAGGTCTCTCCAGGCAGCTGCCTCACACCACCCTGTATATTGCCAGAGGAGGCTGGTGGGAGCTTAGGCAGGAGAGTGCAGGTACAGAGGATGTGGCCGGTCCATGGGCCACTCTGGGCCTCAGTATCCCCATCCGTCAAGTAGGCAAACACCTGGCCAGAATCTGCCATGCCCCCTTCTTCCACCAGCCCCTGCTGACTCGGGGGTCCGGTGGCTCAGGTGGGAGGGCCCCGAGCATGGGAGGTGACAGGTTAGTGTCTGACTGGCAGGTGAGGGTGTGGGGGGCTGTGGCAATCCTGGGGCCAGTGCGGTGACATTTTGATTTGCTGGACATGGTTTCCAGGACAGGAGGGACGCGCTCCTGAGGCCCTCTTCTAGACCCCCCGAGCCCCTGCCCAGCTCTACCCTGGGACCCACATGCCTCCTGCCAGCCGCTGGCACCTGTGACCTGTGGGGACAGAAGGCCTGATGGCCAGGGGCTGGAAGAGGGCAGAGGGGCACTGGGGGCCGCGTGGCGTGGAGTGAGGACGGCTCCCGCTGGCTGGGGCCGAGACCCTCTCATGTTGCCAGGAAAACATAAATAACCTCGTCAACGCCTGTGCCCGCTGCCCGCCCTGGGGGCATGGCCAGGGAACCGTTTCGAGCGTCACCGGCCAGTGTGGCCTCTCGGTGTTTGGTACCCGGCAGGCAGGCCACCTCAGAGTCTCATTGTCACTCTGTCCTGAGATCCACGCGTGTCCTCGAGGTCCACTTTCCCCAGGAAGAGAGAGGGCCTCGCTGGCTCCCGGGGCCCAGGAGCCGGGGGCGCTGCCCGGCGGGCGGGCGGGCGGGGCCTCACTTGCAGGTGAAGACCTCGCTGCGCTCGCTGCAGGTGCTGCACTTGACGAAGCAGCACCAGTGGAACTTGCAGTTGCACTGCCACACCTTGGTGTACTGGTGCGTGTTGTAGCCGCGCCCGCAGCACATGGTGTCGCAGCCGTCGGCGCCCGGCGAGGTGCGGTTGCACAGGCGGCCCTGCGTGCCCACGCTGCCCGTGGCCGCGTCCTCTTCGCAGTAGTTGGGCGACTTCTCGATGTACACCAGGTCTGTCTCCATGGGCTTCTGGTAGCTCCGCAGCTGTTTGATGCGCAGGAAGGTGGGCTGCCGCAGGCGGCTGGCCCGCACCACCTCCACCTGCACGGCCGCGTTGTACTTCTCCTTGAGCAGGTGCCCCACCTCGCGGAACTTGGGCAGCGTGGTCCAGCAGGTCTTGGTGGTGCACGAGCCCGACACCCCGTGGCACTTACACTCCAGCTTCATGCGGTCCTCCAGGACCTGCGGGCAACACAGCAGCCGCTCAGCGAGGCCTGGCCAGGGTCCCCACCCGCCCATCACGCCTCCCCACCTCCAGCCTGACCCTGCAGCCAGCTCCTCCACTTCCTGCTGTGGGCCCATGGGCAAGTGTCTCCACCTCTCTGACCCTCAGTCTCCTCATCCACTCAACAGGCTGCTTAGAATATTCCCAATGCCCAGGACATTGCAAGCGACCTGAGAATATCTGGGGCCAGCAGAGCCTGGTGTCCATTCGTCAGATGTGTTTGGTTCAATTCTCTGGGCCACCTTCAGGGCTCTGAGGACACCGAGGCTGGGGAGCTGTGGTACCTGCCAGACAGCAGGTGCGGAGCCCCAGCAACTGAAGGTGCTTAATGTGGTCCCTCCACCCGTCCACCTGTGCCTGCCCTCGTGCCTGCTGCAGGGCATTGCATACAGTCAGGGCTTAATCGGTGCTGTTTAATGGGAGCCTGGCATGCCCATGGGGCTCAGTACAGGGCGGGGCAGGGGAGCTGGGCATGGTCAGCGGGGCCAGCCGTGCCATGTGCTGGGAAGCCGCTGCCCCCGCCCGGCCGGTGGCTGTTCTTTCTTCCTGGCTCCACCGGGGCCCTCGGCGGGCGCAGCCCATGTTTTCCTTGGGCCTCCCTCCACGGCCCGGAAGGCCGATTCCCAGAGCCAGCCCTGACCCCAGCTACTCATTTACTCGGATCGAAAGGGCCCTGCCAGCGGGCCTGATTAAAGATGGGGAATCATTAGCCGCCCCGCGGCTGCAGAAGGGCCATCTGTCAGCTGTCAGGTCTGTGGGCCTCCCGGCGGCAGCAGGGCACCAGGGCTTGGCCACCCTGGCCCAGGCTGGCACCCACCGTGGTGGGGCTCCTGCTGTTGGCCAGCTCTGTCCCAGACAAGAAGCCTCAGCAAAGGAAGGAGTGAACGTGCAGATAAGTGAAAGAAAGAGCGAGAAGAGCCAGAGAAAGTGTCCTCGAGATGGCCCTGCCCAGGCACCATCCCCGGCCTGGTGTGTGAGCTCTGGACCTCGGGGTGACTGGGGGCTGGCACCCGGTGTGGGAGACAGACGTGCCACCTGAAGGGACCCGGGACCCTCGAGGACCTGACCCTGTGCAGGTGACGGTGCCTAGGAGGGCTTCCTGGAGCAGGTGACCTTGCAGCGGGTGCTGATGGAGACCAAGAGGAGGGGTTCCAGGAGGGCTCAAGATGAGCGGGGGGCTGGAGAGGGCTGGCTGTGAGCAGGAGGGAGAGACGGGCTGGCCACTGCTCGGGTGGGAGTCGGGTGGGAGTCAGGTGGGCCCTGGGCCAGTGGCCTAGAGTTCTGGGCATTCTCCTCTGAGTGAGCCATGTCCTGGGCGGAGGCTGGGTGGTCTCAGGAGGGCGTCGGGGAGGCTGACGTCCCACCAGGAACGGGCTGAGGGAGGAAGGGCCCAGGGTCCCATGGAGGGAGAGGTCAGGCTTAGGGGACATCTGCAGTGGAGGGTGTGAGACAGAGGGCTGTGGGGAGGTGGCCTGGGGAAAGGCACTGCGGGGCCTCCTCCTGCAGCCCGTCACCCGGGGCAGCTTCCTCTGCCCCCTCCCCTCCTCCCCAAACCTCCTGCAAACCTGGAAGCCTGTCTGACCTAGCCACATGGCCACCCCCTCAGGCCAGGCACTCCCCAGAGCTGACAGCACCTCTCAGAGTTCCCAGCCAGGTGCAGCCTGCCCCACCCCAGCTGCTGACCCTCCTGGGATGGCCAAGTTGCGGAGGTGTCCAGGCTGGGGGCTGTGTGGGCCAGGCGGTCAACCCCTGGCTGCCATCTGGTGTCCCACTGTGGCTGCTGGACGCTGTCTCCCTGCCCAGCTCTGCTGCCTGCTTCTGAACTCGCTCCCTCCTCCCCTGGTGAGCCCCTCGCTCCTGTCCCCACCAAAGCCCCCAGCCAGGCGGCACCCTCTGACACCAGGGGACATCCAGACCCCCCCATGCAGCCCTGCTGGGGACAGCAGCAGGTGAAGCCAGCTGGACAGGTCTTTGCAGAATGAGGAGCCGAGGCCTTGCTGGACTCCAGAACTCCCATTTCCTTCTACTCCTCGGGGTCAGAGCGGCAGCTGGGACCTCAGGGCACCGAGACCAGCCCTGCACCCAGGAGACCACCTGGCATGTGCACGGGAGCTGGCCCTGCCCGGGCAGCCGAGCCTCCCATCCAGCCAGGGCCCTCTCCCCACTGTGGAGTGGGGTCCAGAATCAGGGTGCGGCCATGCTGGGGGGCAGGGCTCCATCTCCAACAGACTAGGGGAGCCCTGAGGTTGAGAACCAAAGTCCTTCAGGGACAGGCCGGCAGGCCAGGAGTCTGGTGTCTGGACACTGCAGGGCCGGGCTCTGGTGCCACAGAGGTGCATCACCTCCATCCGGGAGCCGCCGTGGTCCTCTCACACCCTGCACTGCCTGACCTCTCCCTGAGCACTCTCTGACCACAGCATGGACCGAGAACAGGAGGCCCCGCTGGCCTGAGGGGCAATGGCCCTGCATGTCACTCCTCGGTGGCCCTCAGGCCTCCATCTGTGCAAGGGGAGCCACACGCCCCTCCCCGCAGCAGGGTCCCGGACACTCCACCACACCAAGGCTGCACCAAGACTGTCCTCCAGCGAGGCCCCAGGGCTGGTCTCTGGTAGCGTCCAGCCTCATCCGGCCACCTAGAGGAGGCCCCACCTTCCCAGGTGGACCTGCACTTGCCTTCGCTGTGGAGAGTGGGGAGATCCACCTCCCACCTGCCCAAGTGCCACCCCACCTGGCCCACTGCCCTGCCCCAGGTGACACCAGGGAACACACACCTGCCGACTTCAGGGGACAGTCTGGGAGCTCCTTCTGCCC